TGTTAAAGATTTGTTTGACGATAATGGTAATTTCAAATCATTGTCAGATTTTTCGAAGTGTGTAAAAAACAAGTCAAACTGGTTGTGTGAATATAAAATTCTTACTTCTGTTTTCAAACCTTTACTACGAAAGTATGATTTTTCAAATTGTAAGTTTGTGAACATACGCTACAGAAATTATTTTCTCTTCTACACAGGATATGTTAATGTCTTAGATCAAAGATGCAGATTTTTCTACGAAAATTTTGTACACAAGAAATTTTGTAAACCGTGCTATCAAACAGTTTTAAACAAAGAGTTCAGTGTTGAACCTGTAGAATGGAAAAATATATATCAATGTAAATTATACGACATACCCGATAGACAACTTACAGAATTCAACTATAAACTTTTAAACAATATTCTCTGTAATAATTTCTATCTCAGTAAATGGAAAAAAGAAACGAACAGCCATTGCAAATTATGCCATGTGAACGAAACTTCAAAACATCTCATTTTTGAATGTAAAAATGTTATTGAAATATGGAGCAGATTAAGTTCTTATCTGAAAATAGATATCAAATGGAAACATGTAATGATTGGATTTAGTTCTGAGCGTAATAGAAAAATTGTATCACTCAATACACTCATCTCTTATGTTGCCCATAGAATTTACAAATATAAGATGTACTGTCGACTGCATTCCTTGGATGAAACTAGCTACAACATTTTTAATCATGTTAAATCTTCAATAATTTTCTATGCTTCCATTCTGAAAAATTTGAACTCTCTTGTAGACTACAGGCTTTTTAAAGATTTTGCCTAAAATATTTTTGAATGCATGTTTCAATTGCTTTACATTGTATTAAGTCAATATTGCCATATTATCTTAAGTTCGTAATGTAACTTGTTCTAAGTATGTTATATATATATATTTCTATGTTTGTTTTTATTAAGAAATAAAATATGAAAAAAAAGACATTAAAAAGATGTTTGAGTTTCTGATTGACAATATTTATGTGGTTTTTGGAGACCAGGTCTTCCAACAAGCTATTGGAACTCCCATGGGTACCAATTGCGCCCCGTTATTAGCAGAACTTTTTTTGTATTCACATGAAGCAGAATTTATCCAAAATCTTTTACGTAAAAAGAAGAAAACACTCGCTGTGGCCTTCAACTCGACATTTAGATATATCGACGACGTTTTGTCAATTAACAATGGCTATTTCCATTCTTATGTCGATACGATATATCCTTGTGAGCTTGAGATAAAAGATACCACAGAGTCTGACATATCTTTTTCATATTTGGATATTTTACTTGAAAAAGACGTTAATGGTAATCTAACAACCAAGCTTTATGACAAACGCGATGACTTTAACTTTTCAATCGTCAACTTCCCTTACTTATGCAGCAATATACCTTCATCACCTGCATACGGGGTATATATATCTCTCAGCTGATTCGATACGCAAGAGCATGCTCCACGTATGTACAATTTCTAAAACGAGGTAAATTATTGACAAACAAGTTGATGAAACAAGAATATCAGCTGTCTCGTTTAAAGTCATCATTTCGTAAGTTCTATGGTCGATACAATGACCTTGTCAGCAAATACAATTTATCAATGAGTCAAATGCTGACTGACTCTTTTCAAACAAATTGTTAGGCCATTATTTACACACTGAGTTGTCGACGGATTTTTCCATTATTTCCCGATCATGACAAGGAGCACACGGCGGGTGTGACCGGTCAGCAGGGGATGCTCACTCCTCCATGGCACCTGATCCCACCTCTGGTGTTTGGAGGTCCGTGTTTGCTCTGTTCCTATTTTGTATTGTTTGATGGACTTTTGAGTCTGAATACTGTTCGTTATCTTCATATATTTCATCATTTTATGTTTTGTTTTAGTAGGAGAAAGGTCTCAACCTGTCTATTCTGTGAGAGAAGGAACTAATGACGGGCTTACGGTCCTCGATTAGTTCTTTCTCTGAGAGAATGGACAGTTTTAGGCCTTCTTCCTTACATACATGTAATATTGTGGTTATTAAATATATACTGGAGTATTTACCATAAAAAAAGTCTTTCTACATTTTATTAAACTGTTGTTTTGTTAATTTTTGTGCAATTAAATTTCGTGGTTTTGGTAAGAAATAATTTCTTTGATAAAAATTCTATAAATTCCTGAGAGGTTTCCTCATTCCAGGAAATCAAACAAAGGTTGGTTGATGATGAACGAGCGTTTAATGGAATAGCAAAATAGTAAATACATCATATGATGCAATTTCTTCCGTTATTAAAGTAATATACATTAGTAGTCACCTACGTCGTTTTAAAGACTCAAGTGCGCTAATTTAGGATAATTGCACTAATTATTTGAAGAGGAAGATTGTGGGAATTTACGTAAGAAGCAGTATTCTGATCAATCCTCTTTTTTCAAATACAATACTGTATTAAAATTATTTATAAACTTTAAGGTACTTAATACACGATCATTAATGGATTCTTGTTCCGTACAAATTACTTCAGGTCTGTATAATGTTTTATTCACTGAAATGGATTCAAATTGAAAGATCTTGGATGTCCTTACATAAAGTTTTTTTTCATGATCTACACTCAAAGTTGGCCTCTCAAGGGACACTTAAGGTTTATGTTGAATTAAATGTCACAAATATCGTAAGAAGACCTTTTTAGTTTAAACGTAGGGTTTTGTTGTTCACAACATCGTGCCGTGATCCTTATGTAAGATTATATTGTCGAAGTCAGTAGATTTTCAATATGGTTATGGCTGGAGAAGACCTTTAGATTTCGAAGAAGTCTATATTGACTTAAAAAAATATCTCAATTTCGGAGAGGATAGTTTTCCAAATATGTGCTCTTGTAAAACTCAACAACACTCAAATTCACGGTGCTGATAAACACCATCTTTTGTACCATAGACACATATGTATGTAATATTGTGTCCAAGGTCCTGTATACAGGTCTTGATGTTTGAAGCATTTGTTTAGAAATATATAACCTGAATGATCAAAAAATCAGAAAAACATGAGAAGATGTAATTTATAATGTTCTGTTCGAAATGATTGTCCCTTGCACATCTATTTTCACATTTAAGCAATCACATAGGCGGTTGAAAATAACTGAAATTAAAATGGAACTCGTAAATTTACTTACCTTGTCATTGGTCATTTACAAAATTATTTTGTGAAAAAAGCACTCTGATTGTACACACAAGTACTCTGCAATTGACATTAATAAGATGCTCGAGTTTCTGATTGACAATATTTATGTGGTTTTTGGAGACCAGGTCTTCCAACAAGCTATTGGAATTCCCATGGGTACCAATTGCGCCCCGTTATTAGCAGAACTTTTTTTGTATTCATATGAAGCAGAATTTATCCAAAATCTTTTACGTGAAAAGAAGAAAACACTTGCTGTGGCCTTCAACTCGACATTTAGATATATCGACGATGTATTGTCGATTAACAATGGTTATTTCCATTCCTATGTCGACACGATATATCCCGATGAGCTTGGTACAAAAGATACCACAGAGTCTGACACATCTGTTTCATATTTGGATATTTTATTAGAAAAGACGTTAATGGTAATCTAACAACCAAGCTCTATGATAAACGTGATGATTTTAACTTTTCAATCGTCAATTTTCCTTACTTATGCAGCAATGTACCCTTATCACCTGCATACGGGGTTTATATCCCTCAGTTGATTCGATACGTCAGAGCATGCTCTACGTATGAACAATTTCTAAAACGAGGTAAATTATTGACAAACAAGTTGATGAAACAAGAATATCAGCTGTCTCGTTTAAAGTCATCATTTCGTAAGTTCTATGGTCGATACAATGACCTTGTCAGCAAATACAATCTATCATTAAGTCAAATACTGACTGACTTTTTCATACTTTTTGTTAGGCCATTATTTACACACTGAATTGTCGACGGATTTTTCCATTATTTCCCGATCATGACAAGGAGCACACGGCGGGTGTGACCGGTCAGCAGGGGATGCTCACTCCTTCATGGCACCTGATCCCACCTCCGAAGTTTTAGAGGTCCGTATTGCTCTGCTCTTATTTTGTAATGTTTAATGGACTTTTGAGCTCGAATACTGTTCGTTATCTCGAAATATTTCACTGATTCAAGATACTCATTTTTTTTCTCAAGAAATTTTATATGTGATACTGTATGTTGTAGTTGGAATTTCGATGCTTTAAAATTGAGAACTTTAAATCATATTTATACAATGTGTATATGAAAAATCATAAAAACTCTTTTTCAAATAAATAAACCGTTATCTAACAAAGAATCCCAAAATGAAAACGGTTCCGATACTAGTAAACAATGAAATATGAAGATAAGGAACAGTGATTATCCTAAAAAAAAACAAAACATTTAAACAATACAAATTATGTGCAGAGCCGTCACGGACCTCTGAAAACAGAGGAAGGATCATGAAGGAATAAGCATCTCCTGCCAAGTCAAGTAAACCGAGTGAGATGATAATGCCCTAACAATTTCTATGAAAAACATCATTCAACAGTCTGTCTGAAGACAGATTGTACTTGCAGACAAGGTCATTGTATCGACCATAAAATTTATGAAATATTGACTTTAAACGAGATTGTTCATATTCTGTATGAACAACTTATTTGTCAATAGCCTGCATCGTTTTAAATATTGTTCGAACGTAGAATACTCTCTTGTGTATCGAATTAACTTGGAGACATAAACTCCATATGCAGATGATAATGGTGTATACATGTAGCTACATAAGTAAAGGAAGATGATGATAGGAAAGTTGAAGTCAAACGTTTATCACAAGTTTTTCTGTCAGTTTGCCTTCAAAGTCTTTCTCTGTTAAAACATCCAAATATGGCAAAGGATTACTCATGGTTCTTTTGAAGAATTCTCTCACTGGTAAATACTTGATATTGGTTTATAAATAAAAAAAAATACAATGAAATCAACGGAGCTGTTTACAAGACAACAAACACCAAATATTATCAGTTTGTTTTTACTACTCTCAGTACACTTCATGTAGAAAGTTCGTTAAGCTTTCTTATTTACATGGGAACAATTCGTCATTTGGGCTTGCTACCCCTTGGAGGAACGGGAGGGGGGCCCTCCTTGTCCACTGACATAGACTGTTGGAGGTAGTGTTCTTTGTAGGACATTCGTTTTGCCATGGACTGAAAAAAAATTAAAAAAATAAAATCAAAGACATTTCAACAAGAGCACAATTATGTTAACAGATTGGTTCGTGATAAATAAACTAAAGGACTGTAGGAGTTAATATTCACCGAAGTACAATATGCCCAAAATTCCAGTTCTATTTCATATGTTCTTTAATTAGTTCTATTTATTGTCTACTTCTTGCATAGAGATTGACAGTATAAATACACATGGTATTTCCGATTGATTAAAGGACAATGACGTAAACAAATTTGAATTTCATTGACAAAGGAAACTATACTTTTGACAATTCGTTTAAGTAAACTTTGAATTCCTCTATCATGATCTGAAACATTGAAATCCACATAGTAATTACCTCATTATATGTTCTAATTAATAACAGTTAAAAAATTCCACTGCTTGATGATTTTGCAAATGAATTTGACTATTTATTTTACAGAAGTTTTTTAAAATCTTGATATATTTCTTTGTAACAAATTGAACCTCCTTTGTGGCCAATGTGGAGATCAAAGAATGAGAATTTTTCAATAGACATCATATAATTTGTATTTTACAGGTCTATAAATGATTAAAATTATAAATTCTATATTTCTATAACAAATTCATGACACTTTGTGTCTGTATTCACCTCCAAGAATATTTTAAACGATTTTCCTTTTACTGAGTTCCATTTGTGGCCCATTTCATCCCTAAGGTCTGGTCTCTTTAAACGAATTTAATGGAATCTACATTTGTGACACAATTTTGACTTTAGGGGCATGTTTTAAATAAAACTGATTCATCAGTACATGTATATAAGACCCTCTTCAATTTAATTAATTCTTTCTAAATGCTGTTTGAAAAATGCAGTAGGGATGACGAACGAAAACGGACAGCAAACGTCTACTGATTAGAAAAAAAAGTAATGAAACACGGCTCTTTGCTTTATTGTTGAAAAATGTAGAACATTTTAAAGAATCGAAACCGTTTTCAAAGCATTTACTCAAGTCCATGTCAAAGCAAGTAAACACAATATTTAGCCATGCACTTATGCGATTTCCATAAAAGTATAACGAGTTTAGTACTGTGCTCATTAAATACCACTCTAACCTTAACATCATAATAAGATAAAAAAAAAATAACAATAGACTTCATCGTTTTAATGACGAATCACTAGGATATATAGTAACCGTATGTTAATTTTTATCTTAAGTACATATCAAAAGTGAAATCCCAGTATGATGACCTTGATTTATATTTACTGATAAAATTAATAATAAACCTTTTATTCTGCCTTGTTTTACAGAAGCCTTGAGAATATAGTTCAGATATATAGCTTGGAATGACATACATATGTAGATGTATCAGAAAATAGATAAAAGAGAAGATAACTACGTACGAGATAGAATTATATCGTATATAAACATATATCAAGCTTTTTTGCAATCACCTGAGAAAAAACCCCCATAAATATTAACAATTTGACACAATTTAAATTGGACTCACTGTGTAATTGATTTGAATGCCATATGCATGTATACTCAAGCGTAAAAAGATACACGGACAAACTCTCGCTAAACTGACTTCATAATTATTGATGCAAAATATATATAAAGGATATTCAATGTTCTGTAGTTTTGTTTGTTGTTTAACGTCCCTCTCGAGAATTTTTGACTCATATGGAGACGCCACTACTTGCCGGTGGAGGTTACAAATTTAGACCTATGCTCGGCACCCAGGGCCATTGAGCAGTGAGTGAACTTTTTCGTGCTAGCATCTACTGCGACCTCAGTTTATACGGTTTCATCTGAAGGACCGGTCTCTACGTCCCGCAGTGGGATTCGAACCCGCAAAGTAAGGATTAATTCCTTACACCGCGACTCTAGAGCCAACGCTCTAACCACTGCGCCCACTGTTATGTAGTTACATATGGTACTCACTTCACGAGTGGGACAGTTTTTTTTTTTTTTTTATATTATCACCCGTGCGTCGCATTCTTGAAAATATATAAAAAAAAAAATCCTGTCCAACTCGTGAGTAATAAGTTCATATTCTTCTACAAGATATTGAATTTTATTTTTGTTACATTTTCTTTGATTTTTCTGTTGCCTCTCTCTTTTCGTAACACAGTGTCATAGGCTGTAACATTATAAGTGAAGAGGTTGAGACGTCATGATTTAGCGATTGCGAGATTGAAAACTTGTAAACATGGATTTCAAAACGTATTTGAAGAAACTCTAGCAGTTTAAGTCTCTGTAAGGATGGTATATTTACTCTATCTTAGGCAAGGGAGAACACTCTTCGTGAAGGAAATGAAAATCAAGAGTTTTGCTGCACTTCTGAAATTCTTTCACACTGTGACAAAATATCACTTTGATATTCTTTCAAACTGGGACAAAACATCACTTTTACTTAATAAAGTAACTCTGAGTGAATTTCTGCAGTTTTTAATCAGGTAAAATGTAAATATAAGGAATGTTGTTCAGTTTTGTGTGAGTTGTTGGCGAGTAAATAACACAGACTTGCATGATGACATATGATCATGAAGCGTTCCTTAAATATGAAAAATATAATGCAGGGCTGCAAGCTTTAATCAGATTAGGATAATTCCTGTAGTCGAAGACCTCACATATGTCAGATTAAATCACCATATATTTTTTTTCTTCCTATCATGCACCTGTTGCCACTAATGCATACACGGAAACAAGCTCAAATATATCGGGTGTGTGAACTTTTAAATAACCGGCATGCTAAAAGCTATGATTGGCCAAATTTGAAGTTTCAATAACGTCTGCAAATGACTCTAAAATACGTACATATATTTTGCTTCTATTCACATCTAAATGTTTGTTGAATATTTGGCCTCTCTTTAAAAGAAATACTCATCTCTTAAGCTTATTTGAAAGATAATCTTTGAACCTCATAAAAAGGCATATACTTGTATTTAAAAACAAATGCAAACATTCTGCATAAAATATGATGCATAATATTAGTTATTTATACTTTTAAAACTTATAAATCTCTACATGTGCAGCAGCTTATATAAAAAGAAAAATAATAAATCGCGTTAAGCATAGCATTTGTTTTGTCTGCTGTGTATACATACATAAATTTGGCCTCTCTGTGAGACAAACTGTGGATTTTATTTATAGTTTTTCTTAATAACCATCGTTTATAAATCTCATACAAATACATTGACTCAATAAGATTTCTTAAAGATGTATGCATTAACATACATGTTCATACAAGAAGCACTAAATTCTGTAAATTTCTTATTTGCTCATCCGAAATCAAGAAGTAAAACTTTAACTATTCTATTAAATAAAATTGCATATCTGACAAAAAGAGCATTTACAGTATCAATACAGTATCAATATGAAATGCAAAATTGATAAATGAGTAAATGAATAAATTTTATTGATTACAATATTAATTGAGGTCCCTCCACCTTCATCTTCGATTGAAATGAAATAAATACTGGAAATGAAAAAAAAATGTAAACATACTGTTTCACCAGTGGTTGGTTTCCCTCGTCTCTGGGAGGACTCATCTTCCTGTTAAATGAACAACATAGAGGAACATAGTTAAGAAAAATAGTTCTTAAATTTACTGACAATAGTGACAAACGATACAATTATGAAGAAATGTGCATTTAATGAATTGACACTTCCAGCTTCAATTGATAAAACAGCCTACTTTACTAAAATGAGTACTATATATATCAAGTTGTGTTTTATGCAAATTTAAAAGAATAAAGTCCAACATTTCTCATTGTTTTTGGTTTATTAAAGGAGCGATAACTCTTAATGATAACACACAATACCACTTTATCAAAGTGGCTGAAAGGCTGCCACACGAGAGAGATAATTCAGAAGAGCTTAGTTACTCTGAAGCAACAGCAAACAGCTTAAACAATAATTACACACACTTTGACATTTCCTCAAGGCGACAAATTGGAATTGAAAGGTAGATGTACTATGAGAAAAGAATAAAAAAAATAACACTTTGATATTTCCTCAAAGCGACAACTTGTGAATTTAAGTGTAGATGTACTAGATATATGAAATAGCACTTGCGTTACACTGTAAGTTGATGAGTGTTAAGCACGTTAATTTTCTTAGTGATTTAAGAAAAAAACTTTTTTCATCACTTTCGTACTGTTTTTAAAAATATGCCTCCAATTCAATTTGAAGCAAGGACAAAAGGGAAATGCAACCATTACCTCACTGTCACTATCTGTGGAGTTGTACACGCTGTCTTGTGAGCTTATACTCATCCTGCTGTCACGTGATGAACCAGACGCAGAACCTGTAAGATGAAACATGTAGACACTTAACATAAACAGTAGAAAAAGACTCACCACAAACCTGCTTTTTGAGAGCGGATCATCAAAGTTGGGCACCCACTAAATCTGTACGAAACTTATAGGGTAAATTTTTATTAATTTTTAATTAAGGAAGAAAAAAACTTACTTGAGGAACTAAGAGTACTCGCCCTGTTAGTCCAATCTGTCACTCGTTCGTAAGTTGTGTGCTAAATCAATAACACGAACATCGAATTAAAACAGTGAAGTGTAATTAACATCAAATCTACTTATCTTTTCAAAAATTAAGTCAAAAATGATAATTTTCTCCCGACTCTCTTAGTCTTTAAAATAAATAAAAGAAAATGGAAATGTAATTTTGCCTTGATATTAGGTTGGGCGAAGACTATTTCGGGTTTGGAAGACTTTCTGGTGCCGAAGGTACTTTTTAGTCTTTCAAAGATGGAACGTCGTTCCCCTTGCATTTTAGCTTGCGTGATGACAGTTGCATACGTGTTCCTCATCTCTTCGAGTCCCCTGTGTCGATCCTTGATAGATGTCCTCAAACTTCGATTTCTCTCTTTCCAAGCACCATAAAGCTGTTCTGCCTCTTCTATAGAAAACTCCTTCTCCGAAACTCCACGCTGAATTTCAATTAATTCTTCTAATGAAGACGACCCTAAGCTGCCGGGACTTTTTTTCATATTTACTACAATGATATACGACTTGTTTTAATACCCATATTTTAACCTAACATATGTATTGAGTTTAAAAGGTAGAGCCTAATTTTAGGTGGGGCTCTCTACCCCACCTGCTGTCATTAGTAGGTTTTATGTAAACACATGTACATTTATCCTATAGTTTTTGATACATGCTTTAAAGATACTCATTATGTGATGCAGTCCTATGTAGTATTATTCTACTAACTCCTTGTATTTTGTGTGTGATACGTTATCTGATTCCAATAACATCTTTTTGCTACACTTTATATATACTGTAACTTAACTTACAAGTTTACATTGTGATATAATGGAACTGTAATTTACAGGTTTACATTGTGAAATCCATTTTTATACAATGGAACTGTCATTTACAAAGTTACATTGTGAAATCAATTTCGATATACTGGAACAGTAATTTTAAAAAGTTTGTATGAGTTTACGATATGTCTAATTTTGGTGTGTAGGTATGGAATAGGGAGGCATAAAATTACTCACATCCCTCTCCAGTCATTCCCATGAATTCTGCAGGTGACAAACTCCTGGGTGACCTCTTTTTATCCTCTGGAGAGGGTTGGATTTCTCTCCCACGACTACCCTCTTCTGTTTTAGTAGGTTCTGGTTGTTTGAAAGCCTTTCGTTGAACAGGGGGAGGACTAGGTTTTCGAGGTGGTGATTCTTCTAAAAGCAAGATATTGAATTCCAGGAAAGGACATTTAAAAATATTTTCAGAGTTACACAAAACAAATACATTTCTTAATGGTGAAGGGTCTTGAAAATGACTTGTCAAAGGCAAAAATGAAAAATTATTTGAAAAATGAATACTTAGGGTTACAATGCTTTATGGTTATGATAAAAATAAGATTTTACTATACCTTATCTTTGGTAAAATTCTTGTTAACTTCTTATAAAATGGGATGAGATACGAGTATGTTTACTTGTAAATGATATCCAACCCACATGAATGCTGGGTTAAATACCATTAAACAACGAGACATTCTTTTAACAAATGGATGTATTTGATTTTGCAAAAAAGTTCAACAAAATTATAAAAAAAGAAAAATCTGGTTAAAAAAATTGATGACAGATGATCTGGTTAAATATCAATTTCAATCTAATAAAATTTCATTGGAAATTAAAACTATTAACACACCTTCTAAAGCATGTAATGTTTGATCACTCATCGATTTGGTTAGTTGTCCGGGAGGGGGAGGTAACTGCTTCCGCTTAGGTTTCTCTTGCTTGGATTCTGTCAAGAATGCATAGGGTATATTTGCAAACATCTATTACCTACTTAATTATGCACTGATCAGCTTGTATTTCGTATGCTTATATGCATATATGCAGCTCAAAAACTTTTTAACCTAACATGCTTTTGTGAACCAATAAATGCATATTTTGGAAAGATATTTATTGCTAATAAACAATTGCGCAAATACAAGATATGATGAATTATGCAATTTTATCTATGTTTTTATATTACGATTGATAATTTGCTTTGTAGAACTTGAACTTGTATAATGGCCCCTTTTTGCACGAATAACGAATACAATTAGGTATGTTATGAATTAAGTCAGTACAGAACTTTGTTTTGGAATTCAGCATCGCTCTAGCTCGTGCCTTCAACATAGTTTTTGATTTATAAGTTGTTTGCATGTTTCGAATAAGATCTGGTCCGTCTTGTTTGGCCACAAAAGTTCTTGTTTGGGTTCGAATAAAGACTGTTCCAAGCCAACGAAAGTGTAGAATGTAAATTTCGTCGGTGAATCTCTTTTCTTTTTGAGCTATGGTGTGTTGCTAAATAATGTATACAAATCGTTATCTGGGAAATGCTAAACAAATCACATGGTACCAACGTCTTTCAGTATCTACTGATGAGCACAAATTTCTCAAACGCAACAGAAAGTTTAGGTTAAGGCGGCCGGGAAGCTATCCAATTGAAATTCAAAATCTAAAACACTGAAGGTGAAATTTACGGTTGAATAAGAAGATTTTGGTAAAAACATGCTAACGGCTTAAAAGAGACGTGGGAAAACACTTCAGCAGGAATGATACTCACTTCCAAACACGTTCTTTGAAAACCTAAACAATATACAAACCTAATAACATTTAAGCCGTTATTCTTGTAAATTAGAGGCAACTAAATTCATCGTGTTAGAAAAAAAAATAATAATAATAATCATGAACTATAATAAAATTGCAAAATTCATAACACTTTGTAATTGCGCCTTTGAACATTTACTTCTATATCAAAATTGAAATAAATTTAAATTAGCTTTACAAACCATTTCATTCCTTTAATTTCTTAAACTAAAAGTTAAGAAATCTTTCTGAAGATTAAATATACACATTACATACTATCACTTTTAATACCTTCAGTTTCTTCTTCTATAATAGGCTGGCTCACAGACTTAGATATCACAGATTTATGCTTTCGTGGAACAGGTGGTAATTTCTTCTTTGGTCTACTAGCATGAAGTTTTTCTTGTTTCTCTGGAGAATAAAACAACATTTAATGATGATAAACTAAATAAAAACAAAATACATCAGATGTACTCAAAAGATCCCAACAGGTTAGCATTTTTCTTTAGCAATAAATGAATTTGTAGTATATTTAATTATGTATAATATTTAATTTCTTAATTGTTGCTGCAGAGAGTACATTTCACGATAACATATTACATCTGTACTCAGCTGATTTAAATGGAAAACTGTCTATCTTTTTTTTCAGAAATGTTAGGCGATAACTAAAATTTCAAAAGAAAAGTCTCTTAAATCTGCAACTGACTCTTTCCTCACATATGATATTGGCTTTAATGGTTAGAATACAAAGATTAAAACCTCTAGGGCCATCTTTATAAAATTGTTTGTTTGCCCTCTCCCTACCGACTGGCTAAAATGGTCCTACTCAAAACTTTTTTTAATCTTCAGGAAACGATTTTTTTTTACTCTTTTTATTTTCTCATCCTGTCAATATGTATGTTGAAATTTTCTAGGGAAAAAAATTCCCACCTACCTACAGACCCAACTTTTTTTACCTTGAGTAGGGAGAGGGCAAACAAACATTATTTTAAAGATGGCCTGGGAATAAATCAGTTTATTAGAATGATTAAATCCGTGGACAAACATTGACCCACCTTTGTCTTCCTGGGGCTCTTTGGTGATTTCAGACTTGTTATTGTATAAATGTTCTCCTGTCATGGATAAATAAAGTTCATCTGATACCTCTATGACTGCCGCCGTCTCCTGTTAATAGCAGGTTAAAAATCATTAAAAAAGAATTAAATTTTAAGTTAGAACTGCTTTAGAAATTAAGTGTTGAAGCATGGTTATCTAAAAATGTTGTCTTTTTACTTAAATTTCGATTAACTTAAGTCCTATTCAACCACACTGCAACAAATCAGCTTATCCGAACTAGTTTTATTGTTATAAATTTCCACACCATAGTTTGTTATTTATACTTAGAATAAGAACAAGCATTCTGAGGGTATTGAATTAGCAGTAATGAGTCTCTTACAAGTATGGGCCATCATTCCGACAAAAATCATCGAAGTGGAATGAAATACTAACGTTATTTATAACCCATGAAGTTAGACTCACATATCAAGAAATCAACTCAAAATATGCAAGCGTTTTAAAAAAGGTTTGGAAAACCAAAATGGAACAGGCTGACTAACAGACAGACAGACAGTTGGACGGGTAGAGGTAGATAACATATAGTCCTCTGCGTTGTTCGATAGGAGACATACATATTTTTTTCCTAAACTTTTTTTGAATTGAAAAATATGTTGCTGTTTTCTGTCGCAGATAGGATTGGCCCAAAATCAGACCAATGTTAACACGTGACTCATTGATGCTATATCCAAGGGAGTTTGTGATAAAGTTTAAGAATGCTGGTCTAGCTGTAGTTTTCAATTTTCAACAACTTTGATATGTGAGAACAATGACTCTTAGGTACTTTTAGAATCAAAATACATTGGACCAACGCTGGTCTTATGTTTGAAGTATGTTCTCCACTTTAATGTTAAATACCATATTAACTATAGGTTGGCTCAATGATATCCCAACTTTTGAATTTGTGCTATGTTGACTATAGCTATTATAATTATGTTCAATTATGTTGAGTTTTAATATTCATATTTAAAATAATAAATCTGAAATACATTATGATATAAGCTGCTTTTAAATACAATGTATGTACATGTATTTGAATATTCTTATATTGACAAACATGATTATTTTTAACATTTAAGAAAATAAATTGGATGAAAATTTAAAGAATGGTGAACTGCCTATTTTCTGGTAACTGTTTTAATTAATTGGGTATTGATATTTTGGATGTAGAGTTAATAGCATCGTGTAGATAATACAATGTTGTTTTTGAAAATGCTGAGGAATATACATGAAGACTATCTTGGATGTAAATTCAACAGCATCGTGTAGATAATACAATGTTGTTTTTGAAAATGTTGAGGAATATACATGAAGACTGTGTAAAGAGGAAAGGTATATTCATATGTACATGCATTTTAAACATTTAAACGATGAAGATTATAATTATTGTTTGAGTAATTATACGCTCAAAGCATGACAAAAGTTCTAAAATAGAATGAACATCTAGATATGTGTATTTTCTCGCTAAGAGTCTCAAACCAGAACTGTTTAGATTGAATTTAATTTGTCAGTTTATAATAGCACACTAGTATTAATTGTTTAAAAATTTCAAAACAAATAACTCTTAGTAATCGGCTTTGATTGAACAAAATTTGTATGATAAGTAAAATCGGATTTGGAATTCAAATTGTGTAAAAAAAAAAAAAAAAAAAAAATGAAACATAGCTAAGCCTTAAATCACGGAAGAATGTGGATGTACATGTATTTACCGTTAATTCTCTATTGTTTGCTAAGTGCTGTACGATATTCGGTCATTTTACCATTGTGCTGGACTAAGATAGATTAAAGAGCATATTGCGCTATGCCAATGTATGCAGATCCTGGTTATGCTATCCGGTCATGCTCAGATTACCACTCATTAACTTGTAACAACACTACACTTGACCAGAGAGTAAACTGAAATGGACTAGTTTTGAATCAGAAAAAAATGATTTTAGGTTCTTATTTTCAGTAATGTCAGTGTTCGTCACATGAAACATCTGCTGTAATCCGACATTTGTATGATAATAAGACAGAGCATGTGGCAAACACAATTTCCGGAATATAAATAAATAGTAAGATAGAAGAAATAAAGAATAAAAATAGCTAAGTTATGTAATGCTTCATTTGCTTCCTTAACCCCTGTAATTTTTTAAAATTGTTTTTTTTTGTTTGTTTGTTGTTTAACGTCCCTCTCGAGAATTTTTCACTCATATGGAGACGCCACCACTTGCCGGTGGAGAGCTGCAAATTTTGTCCTATGCTCGGCACTTACGGCCATTGAGCAGTGAGGGGTCTTTTTCGTGCCAACACCTACTGCGACACGGGACCTCGGTTTATACGGTCTCATCCGAAGGACCGGTCTCCACGTCCCACAGTGGGATTCGAACCCGCGACGTAAGGATCAACTCCTTACTTCGCGACTCTAGAGCAGACGCTCTAACCACTGCGCCACGCGGGCGACTTTTAAAATTGTAAAGATAAGAAATAGTGACTAAGCTCAAAATCCAATATAGCAATACAAATTTGAATCAGGATAAACAAGCATCCCTTGAAACATCAGAGGTAGGGTCAGGTCATACAGGAATAAGCATTTATATCTGCCGTGAGCCCCTCGCTTTTACAATGTTATCGGAATAATCAGTAGACAAATCAGTATGAAAACAAAAACCTAACTAGTCAACATTCGATCGAACTACAAACTGATTCATAAACAAGGCCATTATAATTAACAGAAAAATTGCAAAAAGCTGATGATAAAGGGAATTATTTGTATCCCTGTAACATCAACTTATTTCTCAGTAGCCTGTCTCAATTAAGAAATTGATCGTATTCGAAACACACACCATGTGGACATAAACACTATCTGCAAGTGATAATGGTGTATTACTGTATAAATAAGGAAGGTTGACGGAAGAAATTTATTGTGAATTTTAGCCATTTTTTGCTATCAATGGTTGTATCTATGGATAAATTACCATTTTGCCCGTAGAAAAAGTGGCATCACCCTTCAAATCTGCAAAATCTACGTAAAGAAAAAAAGACCCCCGCAGAATAATGACCCTTGTAAATTTTATTAGGGATATTTTTCATTTTAGTAAAAAAGATAAAGATTTATACATAAAGAGGCCGTCGGTCAAAATACCTGAGGTAAATTGAGGATACAGCGATGATATATGATAAAGATAAATTGACAACATTAATCGAATTCAGTCTACACTATGTGGAAAAGATTTATCATTTTTGTTATAAAGCAGAGCAGAATAATTCTTCTAACCTACGAGTATATTCAACTTATTTGTCCACACACATATCTTGTTTGTCCGAACAAAGAGCAAAATTGTTAGAAATATCTTTTTTGACAGAACAAAAATCATCTAATTCGCTCGAACTATTATATATTTTTTCTGGGCTTCAACGGCACCGTATTATTTCCATATATTCTGTATTTAAAAAAGTTATGTCCTTCATGATTTTTTGTAAAATTATTATCAAGTTATCAAGATTCTAAAATTACAAAATGTATTTGCTTACAAGGTCATTATAATGGCCCAGGAATTCTTGAAATGCTTTGAGTGAGACTGTTGAAAGCCATTTAACATCAGATTATCACTATCCTTCCTTTGTTTATAAATGATCGTACTCAGAGAAAGCTCTATCATTCCGAATAGGTTGGGAGACAACCACCATATGAAGGCGACAGTGGAATATTACTATCATTTTTTGGTGATGGGAAAGCCGATTCGGAAGTCATATCGTTTGTTATATAGTTTAGTTGTTAGTTGGCAATCACCGTCTATAATCAGTAAAATATCCAAATATGAAGCAGATGATAAAGAAAGATTAAGACTGGGGTGTTTACTATTGCGCGTCCCGAACGGCGTACAATCACAATGATGACGCGATGGTATTTTTCTCTACCTCCCGGAAGAAAAAAACTCGAATTGTTAGTTAACTCGTTCGTTGCATGAAAAAGTTTGTCCAACCGTTTCCATTGCAGTAGACGCTATTTTTAAAATTTTAAATGTAAATGGCACAAATAGTGATGTGATAACTATTTTTGTGAAGTTTCATAAAGATTGTTCAAGCAATCTGTGAAAGCATTTTTGGACAAAATTAATAATTTTAATTTGTTTACACGGCAACGGTGGTCATTTTAAAAAAAAATATAAATATACTGAAAGGAAAAAGAAACGCAGGGTAAACTTCTGAAGTGAATTAATGCTATTTTTCCGAAGATATTTTCCAATATTGTTATCTATCGTTTAAACTTATCTTTAATAAACAAGCTACCAAAATCTCATTTGATTTTGACTGATAATTCATAAGTTATTGAAATTCATATGACGGTACCCCCTAAAAAATGAAAATAAAAATTCTCCCTTGCACGTTCTATAACACCTTGATTCTCCTGTGCAAGAAGTTCAGAGCATTTTTCTTTCTCATAGGGATATTTATTCAACCCTTTCGACAGGACAGTCCCTTGTTGGTCGAGATTAGTTGGGGTTACCGACGCCTTCAAACCCTAGCGTCCAGTTAGTCCAACAGATTTTCAATTGGAAAAAAAAAGATAAGAATTTAACGGAAGCCAGTTGTTTTGATAATGTGAATTTTTACCAGAATGTCTTGACAAATTCTGATAACATTTTCCTGAAGGTGAACATGCTGAATAGATAGGCTTACAACGGCCACTAAGTCAAAATATTTCGCATATTATGTTACCCTGCGTTTCCTTTTTCCTTTCAGTATATTTAATGCACATTTAGAGTCGCTGATCGTCGTTTCTGAAAAGTTTCATAAAGATCGTCCATGTCATCTCCGAGATATAATGCTCGGGAAAAATTAATAGGTCTAGCGATAACAATATGTCGTCCCAACATATGTTCTGGACGATATAATAACAGTTTTAACGAACAGCCACTGTGACGTATTTTTGTGCGATTTTTATTGTTGACTGAGAACACAAAAGGTGTAATATATGGAAACACTTGTTATGCTGTTATATTACATTTTAATTGCGTGACGTCTAGTGTTAGTCAGAAAAAACGTGAACGAATTAAACGTTGAGACCAAAACATTGGCATCAATCACGTCCTTTAAACGCTGTATCACTCTGCTGGGATTGGGGTCATTTTTCTAGGGGTCAATTTCTTATAAGTTGCACATGTAGAAAATTAACCCCTAGAGGTTTTTCAACCAAAAAAACCCCAAACACACTAACATTTTTCTTCGGCTGGAGATTGTGTGTGTCATTTTTCGACTAAGGTTTCATTATTCGCCTTTCAACTGGAGGCGGAAATAACTGTGATCGAATAAAGCCGATCACAAAAATCAGCTTCAGAGGAATTCAAAGGAGGTTTGGCTAATAAAAAGACACATTGAGAATTCGGACAGATTGTAGAGAGACCAAGTTTCATTTTCAATCCAGCATGCATCCTCTATATATTAACTTCAAAAACTTGAGCGAAGAATCAGACTGGATTGTAACAGAATATTTCCTGGATAATTAATCATCAGCTCTGTCTATTTCCTAGTTACATTTTTTATTGAAGCATTTATCTCTAAAATCAAGAGTCCCTGTTACGTCATATGGGATGATTGTGGGAAAAAAAGACGGAGAAGTCATGTTTTGATTAGCCTGAATGTGAAAATTCTTGTGATTTCAATTTTGCTAAAGGTTCTGTGTAGTTTTTTTCCTGTCCACATTGTCTTGAAAAATGTAATGGGAAACATTAAGTAGTGAATAATTTGTTTTAGTTATTGAAACATTCCTAGTCTAAAAGATACATAAATATGTATTTCCAATGTTTATAACATAAAATAAGTCTCCGCATGTAAGTGAAACATGTTTAATATTAATATCTGATATAAACAAGGAATTTGGAGCAGAACGCTTTTAGAATTCGTAGGAAAAAGTTACAAAACTATAACATATTTCATACATAATGGTGTATTAAGATGATTGAAAAGAAGGGATAGAAAAATAAGGAATATCTGCTCATCGATTAAAGACAAAAGCTCATAAAATCAGTCAGATATGGTAAAAATTCTAGAATTTTAGTGTTACCTGACAGGTAGAAAGAGGTCCTTCGAATGAATTCTGAATAATTCAATGTTTTATACTCAAAACGAATGGAAAAAATAAAGTACGTAAATAAAGCAACTTTTTGATGGATTTTATATTTATTACAAAAGATATAAATAATTAAAAAGAACTATAAGCAAAAGTTACTATAATAATTTAAAAGGGAATGGGTAAATTTCCCTGACTTCAGAATTGACATGATTTGTGAAGTGATTGTGTTAAGTTATTACGTAATGGTTAAACCGTTTGCTTGTTCTAAATACAATATCGAGATAACGAACAGTATTCAAGCTTAGGTCCATTTAAAATATACAAATCGGGAGCAGAGCAAACACGGACCTCAAAAAAAAAAAAAAAAAAAAAAAAAAAAAAACACCAGAGGCGGGATCAGGTGCCATGGAGGAGTAAGCATCCCCTACCAACCGGTTACACCTTGTTCCTTGTCATGTTCGGGTAAACGGAAAAAATCCGTAGAAATTTCAGTGTGTAAATAATGGCCTAATAATTAGTATGAAAAAAATCAATCAGCATTTGACCTAATGATAGATTGTATTTGCTGATAAGGTCATTGTATCAACCAAAGAACGAAATAATGACATCAAACGAGATTATTGATATCCTTGTTTCATCAACTTGTTTGTCAATAGCTTCCCTCGTTTAAAATTGATCGTACGCAGAGCATGCTTTTGTGTATCGAATCAACTGGGAGGCATAAACCCCATATGCAGGTGATAAGGGTATATTGCTACAGAAAAATGGAAAGTTGACGATAGAAACGTTGAAGTCATCACGTTTATCATAAAGTTTTGTTGTCCGGTTACCATTAACGTCTGTTTCTGGTAAATTATCCAAATATGAAACAGATGTATCAGACTCTGTGGTGTCCACTGGGATAAGTTTTTTAAATATAAATAAATACATTGTATGTTTTTTTTTTTTTTTTTGGTCTTTTCTTCAAAACACGAATCTGCGGGCAATTTATAACTTAGAACTAGCTATTCTATTTTGATATTGCTTTCATTGTTTATTGATTATTGAAGAAAGCCAAAAGAGTTTATGAGTACTTAATCAATTGAAAAAAAAATACTTACAACAAACATTCTAATAAAATTTGCGAGTTCATGGAATCCCTCTTTATCGGCAATTTGAGCTGGATCTAACCCGTCCTTATTCTCTATATGGAAAGCAGCCAGAGATCCCGGTGTATCGAGAACAGCACAGCAAAGTTCCGTCAATCCATACTGAGCAGCGAAATGCAGAAGGGTAGGGATTCCAAAATCACTCCGCCCCACTGTTATAAAGTAAGAAAGAAGAAAAAACTATATCATTAGTATTTACAATTTTACATCAATCAAAGAAGTTATCTTTAAAAAAAAATACTGTTCCATATATCTAAAGACGAAAATTTTGAGTAAAAAACCAATGTCAAAAAAAAATTTTTTAACATAGATCATCATTACAATTTTTCCCTGAAACAAATAAATTTTCAAAATTATTTCAAAAGCAAGTTTTGAATTCAATTTTGCTGAGCGGTGATTTCACTATAAGTGTACATTTTGTTTTAGATAAAATCGATTGAATCTTGAGGGTCAATATTTATTTTTTTTTTTACATCCCTTTCTAAGAATAACATATTTTCGTCAAGGCTTAAGTGACAAGAAAGGAACATAAAATAAGGCAGACAAATTAAATATATTAGGAGACCTCTATTGGAGAGCATATGAGAGCTGGCAGCTTGGTGGAGGGAGAGATCCGCAGGAATACTGGATTCATAAATCTCCACCAGTTTTCTGTCCAGTTCTTCCATGTTATCTTTGGTTAGCCCCAATGCCTGAGCCAGGAAACTAATAGATCGGAAAGCCTCTAGTGAGGGTGTTTGATAGGTGAATGGACACTGGTGCGCAACTTTGGCATCGACATACACGGTTAACTTCGTTACACCGAATTCATGCACTAAAAAACAAAACAAAATATGCTTCATTCTTGAAATTATATGTACAGTGTGTGTCAATGTTACGATCTTTTCCAATACATGTATAAAGTACGTACGTGGCGCTTTAAAAGTATATGTGTAATCGTTCTGACGTTTGCAGTCAACAAATTCTCCTCCCTCCAATTTAATCTGGACCGTTCCTGATGGTACCTCTTGAAAGATAATGGCGATTTTCTCATTGCACTGAAAAAGTTTTACCCAAATTTTTTATGGACAGTAACTGAGGAAATTCAATCCTTTTTGACGATTTAAAGGGATGTTTGTATTTTGCTCTACAAATATTTATTTTTTTTTTTACAATGAATGTTTCATTCTTCTAGTGATCAAGTAAAAGTCTATGGAATTGTCTTGTTTCAATTGTAAGAGGTACTGCAGATGGATCTTTTAAGCAAGAAATTTAATAGATCAATCATTTAATCAATCAATCAATCGAATTAATTAATGGATGATTAAATAATGAATAAATAAATAGTTTTGGCTATTCCATAGGGCATACGATATTTTAGACTGATTGCGATGAATCAAACTAGACACCGAGGATCCTTCATTGAGAATGAGATGACATTAATTTCAGGATTATTTTCAAATTAACACAGATGCTAGGAGCCAGTGTCAGTATTCTGTATTATTCTCACATAGATCTGGGTTTTTTTTAAATTTGGTTGTATTTACGGTCTCGTTAAATATCACTGTTAATACTATGTATATGTATTCATATATATACACAGATCTTACTTTTGTATACCGAATACCTCATTGTGTCAGAACTGCACTTAAACAGGCAGAAACCTATCTTCGCTAAATAAGTATATGTATACATATTTATAGAAGATAGGTTTCTGCCTGTTTTAAGTTCAGGTCTGACACAATGATGTATCCGGAACACAAAAGTAAGATGAGTGTATATATTATAAATATCAATGTATATGAATGGTCCAAAGCTGCCCTTAACAGTTATTTTAGCTCCTAGGTATAAGCCAATAATGATTAGGAGGAAATTACTTTTCCTTTTACAAGGAAGAAATATTGTATTACAGTAAGTTTAGGAACGTACCTTATGTACCCTGTCCGGTAAAACCTTGATGGTGGTTCTTCTTCGTCTCTTCTTTTTCTTTTTATTTCCCTCCTGTTCGTCCACCATTCCTGCCAGGTCCGCAACAATCTGTTTACATTGCTCAGCACTCCCTTCACTTATAAGTTCTCTCCAGTGAGAGGCGTTAGAAAAAACGCTTTTAAGTTGGGTAAGATCTTCTTTTAAAGAAGGCCATGATATCACAGCTACTCTTTGGTGCTCATTGAGTTTATCATGAATAGGATGGCTAGACTCTTTAAGAAAGTCCACTAAACTACTGGTTAATATTAACACAACCACGTGACATTCTGTAAACGTCCTTTCTAAGTCTGAAGCACTTTCCTTCAAATTGTACGATATATGTGTCAATTTGGACTTATTTAATAAATTTGTGAAATAGCTTTGCCAACTCTGACCATCTTCTGCAGAGTACAAAAGGCACACGTGAGGCATGTTAGCTGGCCATTCACATCAGTACCTGCAATATAAACATTAATTTTAAAATATGTTGATTTATTAGTTTAAAAGAAGTTCATTGTTTCAATAAAACGAGTGAAATATGTCAACAGAATATGAAGAAGACTGCACAACTTTTCCATGTAATATGATTTTGATGCTTAACAACATAGGTTTTAAACAGTTCCTTCTAAATAATGTTCTGTACACAGTATTGAAATTTGGGGTGAAATTTTCAAAACCTAGAGCTTACCTTATGAAGAATTTGTTGCCTTGAAAAAAGTGTAAATTATCTGATTCTGGAATAGAAGATTATTAATATAAGATGACCAATCATAGATGATTTTAAATCGTTGACGTCTTATCTCATTTTGAGAGCAGACTTGTTTAATATATATAGCTTCCTTCCACACGGAAATAAAATAAGATATTTACGTCCTTGTATGTGCTTGATTTTTGTTTTTCTTACACTCTCATTCTTTTGAGACTGGTTATTGACTAGAACAGCTGAAGTGAAGTTACTACACTTATATGAAACACCTACCATCATAGCTATGACTTTTTCTTCCGTACAAGTCGAATAGATATATACAGAATTTAGTACAATTCTTTTGAATGATATATGTTTACTAGTTACAGAAAAAAGGAAAGAAAACGTTTCCATTCTGTTACATTCTTAACAGGGCCACATTGGATGATTGGTTTGAAACATACTTACATACAAGAGACATATGATTAAAATGGTTTTTGAATTTACCTTTTGATTTGAGGGACATATTGATGCATAAATTAAGTGAAAGCAGGTTTTAAAAGAGGATTGTATTATGCTAAAAGATTGAATTGCCATTTGCTTTTAATAACGTATTTCAATACACTTGAAGCCTGGGTTACATGTGGTTGAAACCTGAAGTTTGAAAATGGGTAACTTCTGAAATGTTCACGAAATATGTGACGGTAAAAACAACCCAAAGATTTAGATGAAAACTTGAAATTTAGTCATTTCAATTTGACCAACATTTGTGTCCTTGCAAAAAGCAAATTTACACACAATTTTCATTATAGAACATCAAGCATAATTGTATGTCTTCTTTGAAATAAATCAACTTGAAGAAATTTTTTTTTATCTTTAATTTTTCTAAATTCCACATTCAAAAAAATTTTTTTATACAACTCTACCCTCCATTAACGTGTATAAATAAATCGTCCTGACAATGACCTAATACAAATTAATTGTACATGTGACATCACATTGAATGACGTACAGCATGTGATTATGTTTTAACATTAGTATGAGTAATCAATAAAAACCAGCACCAGTAATAGTAAATAAAATGATGAGAATATGATAAAGTGTGACACTATAGCAATTCATCTTCTCCTTTCCTACTTGGTAAGTGAAATGGCGTTATTAGGGAGTGAACATTGTAGTAGTTTTTCCAATAAAAACAAGAGGTAGATTAAGGAGGTTGGATCCTGCCATCAAAAGTAATGGGAATTTTTTATCAAGTATATTTTTAGAATCTACACACATAGCTTAATTAAAAATCAAAACAAAATGGGGGTTAATGTGCTTCTTTTGGCGCTACAGAGCATTTAGTTTGACCTTTTTGCACTGTAAATACGTCTTACACATAAATGAATTTTTAAAGTTTTTCCTCCAATATTTTCTATTCAAATAAATTATGGGAACAAACACAGTCTTCTTTCATCTTAAATAGACACATTAAAATTTGTGACAACAAAAAATTTTAAAATTACTTCACATGTTCAATTATTTGACCTTTTTGCACTCAAAGAATATCATTTTTCTGGCATTAAAAATTTAACAAGCAATAAAATCATCTGAAAGTAATGACACTTCACTGAATTTAAGAAGAATGGTTAAAAGTATCTTATATATTCAGAAAAGAAAATTAAAAGTGGGGGTCTGTGATGTTAAATTTTAGATATTACAAAAATAGTGCTAATTTTAAGCTTAAATTAGAGCTAATTTTTTTTGGATTTTCACAATATATTTGCTATATTTATCAAATATGATGATAGAATTCATGATAGTTTATCTAATATATAATTTAGGACCAGCATAAAACAGTTCACGGCACAGAATAACTCTGTGTGCAGGCTGCATGGGAAAATAAGAATCCAAACTTAATATACTTTAAATACGTCGAAAGAGAAAAAATTATCATATTCTTCGAAAAAACCTTCCGCCACAAAATATAGTTCCTCACGTAAAGTTTTTGGTATGGAATTTAATCATGAAGTTTTAACTGAACATAGTTTGATTAGTATTGTAGAATCCAAATTTATTGTAAGAACTAAAACATTATGCAGAATTTTTGAAATATAGGTTAAGACAAAAATCTGCTCAAAAGCGCAGGAGCGAACCTCGTTAAGGGGACGTAATGAATGCCAAAGGCAGAGTCCTTTCTTTGCTGGGATCGGGGTGCTGAAACAGTAGATACAGCACCCTAATTCTTTCTTTTGGAAGCTAAATTGTAAATTTTGAACATCACTTGAGAAGCGAAAGATATATACATGTAGATGTGGCTACAACATCCCCCCCTAAATCATTCTTAATGATAAAAGTTTATATTTCGACAAACAAGGTATGTCTAAACATTAAATACTGCTACACTAATTAACTGATGACAAAAGAGGGGGCGTACTGAGACGTCTATCTCGTTTATATCCGTTACTGGAAATATATACATAGATTCGGAAAGTTTACTAGTATATCAATATACAAGTACATGTATACATTATTTTGCAGTTTCTATTAAAGCATACTTTTAATATCCTTTGGAAGGTAGAAAAGTCTCAAAAGAATTAGTTATCTAAAAAAAAGCACTTTCCTCATAAAGTTTTTTTTCTGTGTTTTTTTTAAAGGTGACGAAATGTTTTGAAAAATCATGGTTAAGCATTGCCGAAGGAACTGGTAGAAGAGGATTCGGGGGTGTTGCAGTGATATTGCACTTACAAATCTTGAAATACAGATATAGAGTACTCAGCAACTTATGTATACCAAAAACGTAGATTCGAACAATAGTCGTATTTGTGATTCTACATACATATACAAGCACTCTGATGTTGATATTTAAAGCGGCACTGTGACGCACAAACGGGAAAATTGACAAAATTTCTGCATGACCAGTGCAAATTTTGTTCAATTCTTGAAAGTATTAGGTTTTAGAAAATTACAAGTTTGGGAACCTAAAAAAAAATTTCTGTATGGCCCAACATGAAAATATTGTTTTACTTTTTCCTCCTTACTGTACGCGTGCGCAGAAAAGCTGAGGAAGTTACCATGGTCTCAAGTACCAAAAAATGAATGTTGGTAGACCAAGAATTTTGAAACAATCTTCAAAAAAGATTATTTGAACATATTTCTCACCTCTGTATGCTCCGATTGAATGTTGTTTACAAGTTTACGCTAAAAATAAAAGTGGATTGACCCTGACATGCAAGATAACAACGAAATGGTAGATACAACCTTATATTGTGCAGTCTTTTTCCTGCAGTCCTTTTTACAGTTAGATGTCATATCTTCGCTATTCTCATAATTTTCATTAATCTTTCGCTTTATGATACAGATATCTTAAAAGATACACATGATTTTGATTTTGACTCATTATGTAACTTTAAAAGATGCTGGGGTTCCTCATTGACAATATCTATGTAGTATTTGGACACAGGTCTTCCAACAAACTGTTGCAATTGCTATTGCCATAATTGTGCTCCTTTATAAGTCGATCTGTCTTTATATACATATGAAGCACGATTTATTAAAAAACTTCTTCACGAGAAGAAGAAAACTCTTGTCTTGGCCTTCAACTCGACATTCAGATACAATGTACTAGTATATCAACGACGTTTTATCAATGAACAAAAGTTACTTCCATTCATATGTCGACTCGATGTATACCGGTGAACTCCAAATAAAAGACCTACAGAATCTGTTTTATGCTTGGATGTTTTAATGACTAAAGACGATCATGGCCAAATAATACCTAAACTATATGACAAACAGGATTACTTCAGTTTTTCAATCTCCCTTATTTATGTAGCAATATTCAAACACCACTTGCATTTGGCGCTTACGTTTCTCAACATATTCTATACGCAAGAATGATCTGAATACGATCAATCTTCAAACACTACTGAAAGCTACTGAAAAAACTTGATGTTACAAGAATTTTACAATCCCGTTCAAATTCAGCTTTACCAAATTCTACGGTCGTTATAATAACCTTGTTTGTAATTACAGCCTATCATTGGGGCGTACTTTGTGTGACGTGTTTCATACAGTTTGTAAGGTGATTGTTTTTATACAAAAATTAACTACTGAATACTCCGTCTACCTGATCAATACAAAGGGCTCACGGCAGGTGTGACTGATACTTACTCATTCTGGGCACCTGATCCCACCTCAAGTATTTCCAGGCTCCGGGGCCATAAAACTTAGATGAGCTCACTTTTAATCTCAGTCTCACTTTTACAAAAGGAATTAATAGTGGAAAAGTGAGGCTGAGATCGAAAGTGAGCTTGTCTTAGTTTTATGGCCCTGGGGCCTGGGTTTCGTGTGTTTGCCCTGTTTCTGATTCGTTTTGTTTACTGGAATTATGAGATTGATCACTGTTCGTTACATTTATCTTTCACATTACTTAATAACTGTTTCCTAATTAATCAGAAGAAATGAAGAATATATTTTGAAATTAATTATTATTAAAAACTATGACCAGGAGTTATTACCTTGCTTGACTATCATTCCCACAAAAGCAATGCTGAATAATGTTCCAATTAACCAAATATAACAAATAATATATTTTGATAGGCTGTTAGCTTTGTGTCTATTGCTATTGGGTAAAATTCTATTTTTAGCCAGACTATTAAGGAAGAATAAGCCTAAGTTTATGAACGATTCATACTATATTTGAAAGCTTTTGTGCATTTTTCAGATAAGAAGGGTAAACTGTGACAAAAAATGCACTTTGCACACTTGAACATGCCCGGAGTGTCAGATTCAATATTTATTTTTTTATCTTTGGGAAAACTTAACTCCACACCATGTGCTCATGTAAAATTTAACTTGAAATGATTTTCAATTCGTGGAAAATGTGAATAACAAGAACGACACAAAAAGGATATAGGACTGGTGTCAATTAAATAACACGGAACGGAACAACGTTAGAACCAAAAAATGAAGTGATCAATGAATAGTATTCCTGTAACATAAGATGAATTTTATCTTATTCAATTTCAACAAGCAAATATAATATGCATTAGCATACAGTAACAT